GTGGATGCAGAATATTGTAATTAGTTATTTAAAATGGAGATTGATTATTGCTTGTCAAGTTTCATCGCTTGGCATAAGTGGTATTGGAAACACGAAACAATCTTCCTTGTTTTTAATGTTAGCAATCGGTAGACCATCTGATAACCCTACCCTTCCTGCAGGAAAGCATTCCACAGAAGGATTGTTTCACATTGCACAATTCCATAGGTTTTGATGGGGTCTTATCTAGGTGTTCATCAAGTTCTTGCTTACCTTACACAATAGGATGGTCTCAGACCAGATACAAGGCTATTTGCACCAAAAGTGTTTAAATATTTAAATATGAACTGCAATCTGATGTCATTTCATATCAAAATTTGGGTGACATGAAGGGGTAACTGCATGGTATTATGTCCAAGCATTGGTATCAAGTAAGTTGTAGGGTTTGGAGTCATTTTTCCTATTTAAGGGATGTGGGGACAGATTCAGAGAAAGAAAAGGAGCTGCTAGAATCCACAGCTAAAATTCCAAGGCCAGAAAAAAAATGATAAGCTAGGTAGTCATTAAAAATCATTTTAGTTTGGAAGGTAGGGGCAGTATTCAGTTCAGAATCAACTCCCTACCATGATGCTTTCCATTACACTCATTTTAATTGTTAATTTATTTGTATTTATAGGATTTTAAATCTTTCAAGTCGAGATGCACCGGGTTTTAATATTTTTACTTGTATAATTGTTATATTTATGTATTTTGTTTTTGTTGTGAGCCGCCCTGAGGCTTTGTTGCGATGGGGGGCGGCATAAAAATGGTATAAATAAATAAATAAATAAATAAATAAATAAATAAATAAATAAATAAATGCTTTCTCTGGTAGCTAGCTAGTATTTTCTTTACAAGCTAGTTTCTCTAGCTAGTATTCTAATACGTTTCTTTCATTATTGACTTCCGCAATACTCATCATTTTTACTTTCAAGCCAGCCTGGGTGGTTAGTATTAACACCATGAAGCCTTTCTTTTCTTTTTGGACTTTCTTTTTGAAAGAAAGCCCTTCTCCAAGTAGGAAGGAGGGAAAAGAATGGCCTTATTAGCACAGACTGGAGTCATCGACTCACTGTACAGAGGAGGGCCCCAATGTTGTGAGCACCCCCCATTTTTTTTCCTTTCCAGCTGATTGAAACAAAAAACTTGTAAAATAGCATCTTTCAATGCTAAAATGTCTTAATGACAAACAGGTGAGATTTCTGGGTTTGCTAAGTAGGGTTTGTTCATAACTTGGACATTCATGGCTGGGTGTATTATAATCAGGCTCGTTATGATACAAACACAATGGTATTTTTTGGCTTATTTCTGTAGTAAGACAAGTTGTTGCTTTGCTGCTGGAAGGTTAATATCTCTAAGTTGTTGTAACTCCTTGCTGAGTACCCTACAGGTATTTAAGTAAGAGAAAAAAATGGTATTTGTAGGTGAAATTGTCAGCAGTAGAAACATAGAAACAGAGCAAGTCAGAAGGGGTCTCCTGGGCCATCTAGTCTGACCTCCGGCACCAGCCGGCTACACTCACGACATGCCCACCATGTGGACGTCCAGCCTATCCTTGAACACTCGCACTGATGGGGCCTCAACGACCTCTTGTGGAAGCCCATTCCACACCCTTGGGGTCCTGACTGTCAGGAAGTGCTTCCTGGCATCCAAATGGAACCTTGGCTCCCTGAGCTTTGCTCCATTGGAGCGTGTCCTGCCTTCCTCTGCAGGGGAGAACAGGTCTCTACTCATCTCCATGTGACATCCCCTCACATACCTGTATGTCGCCAACATATCCCCTCTGAGTCTCCTCCAGGCTGAAGAGACCCAGTTCCCTCAGTCTCGCCTCATATGGCATCCCCTGCAAACCAGCCACCAACCTTGTGGCCCTACGCTGCACTGACTCCAACCTGGCTATATCCTTTCTGTAATGTGGGGCCCAAAACTGAACACAATACTCCAATTGCGGTCGCACCAGAGTCGTGTAGAGTGGTAGTAATACCTCTCTTGATCTAGAAGCCACACTTCTGGCTATGCAACCAAGGGTGGTGTTCGCCCTCTTGACCACCGCATCACACTGCTGACTCATGTTTAGCCTGCAGTCAACCAGCACCCCGAGGTCCCTTTCACAAGTGCTGCTCTCCAGCCACTTGTCACCTAACCTGTACTTATGACAGCTATTCCTATGCTCCAAGTGCAAGACCTTGCACTTATCCACATTGAACGTCATCCTGTTGTCTCCTGCCCACTTCCATAGTCTGTCCAGATCCTTTTGGACCTGGAGTACCTGCTCCTCAGTTGTGGCCACTGCTCCAGTTTTAGTGTTGTCTGTGAATTTGATCAGCAGACTGTTCACCCCTTCTTCCATGTTGTTAATGAAAAGATTAAACAGGATCAGCCCCAGGACAGAGCCCTGGGGGACCCCGCTTGTCATTGGCCACCATCCTGATGATTCCCCGTTAATGGTTATCTTCTGCTTTCAGTCAGTCAACCATGCCCTAATCCATTGGACAGTGCTTTGGTGTATCCCAAAACTCCTCAGTTTCTCCACCAGGATATCATGGGGCACTTTGTCAAAGGCCTTGCTGAAATCCATGTATACCACATCCACTGCATCCCCTCCATCTAGCATCTTGAAACCTTGTCATAGAATTCCACAAGGTTTGTCTGGCAGGACCTGTTTTTGCGGAAGTCGTGTTGTGTGGCTGTCAGCCTCCCTTCCCTATCTGGCATCACTAGATCTCTATTATGAGCCTTTCCATTGTTTTTCCTACAATTGACATAAGGCTAACCTATAATTCCCCATGTCCTTTCTACTACCCTTTTTGAAAATTGGGACCACTGATGCCACCCTCCAGTCCTCTGGAATTTCACCTGTTCTCCACACGTTCTCAAAAATGGAGGCCAGTGGGTGTGAGAGAACCCCTGCCAACTCTCTAAGTACTCTTGGGTGTAACCTGTCAGGGCCTGGTGCCTTTGTAATGTCCAATGCCCTGAGGAGCTCCTCGACTTCAAGGGGGATGACTCTAAACTGTGCCCCTACGTCCCCAGCCTCATCTAATCTCCTATGTGGATATCCCCCGTCCTGCTTTGGGGAGAACACAGAGGCAAAATACTCATTTAGCATCTGTGCCTGTTCCCTCATATCAGTCACTGGATCTCCTTCTTTAGTGGTCCCACCACTTGTCTCCCCTTCCTCTTCCTATTTACATGCTGAAAGCAGCATAGGGTCTTGGGCTGCTAATTTTTTAAAATTATACCTGCATGCTTTTGAACAATGGTTGTTCTTGGATATTTGCTTAACATTCATTGGTGAGGTCATTGCTCTAGAATAGAAATGATAAATTTATTTACTTAAAAACCTCTGCATTAAACATTGTTCTCACTGCTGTAGGATGTAGAAAAATGAGTTAATTTGAAAGCTGTGTGGACTTTGACAAAATCAGCTACTGTATAACATTTGTAGATTTTATGGCATTCTTGGAAAATGGCTATGGGTACAGTTGCATGTGATGAAGTGTGACCCTTCAGTTGGTAAATAGCATACTAAATTATCTTTCCTTTCATCTTTATATGAAAATAAATTGGCAAGCTAATGCCTATGGTCTGTTGGGCACCATTTCTAAAACAGCAGGAGAAACAGTCCAGATACATTTAAAAAAACAAAGCTAACTTGATAATTATTAACTTGATGCATGTAAAACATGCTCTGTTGTTTAGTCATTATGTATGTTTAGAAATGGGAGCCACTTCCATGGAACTGCTCTAGATCGGAGGACCTATTGGTAGACTTGTTGATTTGCACTAGAGTTTCTGATTCACAATTGGTTAACAATAATAACAACATAACTCCCCACCTCCAGGAAACCCCAAAACCATATTATAGGAGCAATATAATTTAGGAGAAAATCAGGAAGCAGTTATCTGTGCAGAAGGACTGTGAGCTCAGTTATGGCACTGAAAGCAAATTTTGCCCATCAGCATGGTGTTCCTTACTGCTCATTTTATAAACTGGTTTATGCATAATACAAAACCATTATAACAAATTCTGAGGATGAAGCATAGTTAAGTCCTGGGCTCCCCCCCCCCCCCCACACACACATCTCTGCTGGAGCCACACAGAGAATTTTGAAATTGCCTGCTTCCATTTTAGATGAACCATAGTTCATTGTTGCATCGAAAGCCTGCATTGTACTTCATGTTAACTATTAAAATTAAAAACTATTTTAATTTTATTGAAACAACATAGCTTCTTAAACTTTGGTTTGAAGAAGTTGATATGTTTCAAACAATCAAGATTAACCACTGTGTGATGGGCTCAGGAGACATGGCAAGCCGTGCTTAATGAGAAATGGAAGCCACACTCCAAAATACCTCCTTTGGACAAGGAGAGTGTAAGTCCACAGCCCTCCTGTGCTTGTTGTTAGAATGTTAAGTTATGTTTGGCAGTTTGACTGAACTAAACCCATGTCTATCTCCTGAGCTGTTGTTTTCATACCTTACTCCAATCTGGTGGACTTTGGGGTTCTTTCAAAAGTCATTGCAAGAACTAAGCAGATCCCTCAAGACAAAAGGCTGCCTAGATCTGTTCTACAGTTTCACTTACCAAAAAGTACAATAGGATTGAAATCCCTACATAGGTGCACCCCTGCATTCCAATTCCTGTGTTTAAAAAAAGAGGATTTCTGCAAAAATTCAATGTCATATTAAGAGTGTTAATCAGCTGGTGCACCTGTGAGGTAATACTATCTATTATATATAAATATCCGTTTCCCTTGAATAAACTATACTTGTGTCATGGGAACGCATCTGGACAGTGTGCAGTTTTGTTTTGTTTTTTTAAAGGGATGTGGAGATGATGTGAAGAAGATACAAAACTGTGAAACAGATAATAGGCCAAAATAACAACATGCTTGATATAGAAACTGTACATGGCCAACTTTATTTGGAATGTCTGCAATTCTCTTAAAGTATTCCCTTCACTTTTTTTCCATTCACAGCTTGAGAAAGGAGAGACTGGCTGGCAGAGAGAATAGAGATGGGAATCAACATTGTGCCCAGTTTTGTGGTCTACTAAGGACGCTGCGCTCTAGTGACTAGTAAGGATACCATGAGTGACTTGGCCGGGGGGAAAGCACTAACGGTAGCAAAGATAAGAGCTACAGAAAGTTTTTTAACGCTTCCCAGAGCTGCCTTTGCCTGTAGAACCAATTGTAGCTGCCAGGGCTTTGTAGCATCTGCTAGCTGTGTTTGCCCATTCTATAATGCCAAGCAACAGTTTAAGTGAACCATGGTTTGTTACTTTAGCCATAAATAAACAACAAAATGAACAACAAAATCACAGCTTGTTTTCTGATGCTTCTGACATTTTGCTCTCTTACCCATTTTGCCAGCTTCTGTAGTTGCTTGTTTTCATTTTGCTCTTGCCTGGTGCATCTGCTTAAGGTAGATAGCAGAATGAACAAACTAGAGATAAGTCACTGTGTTGGGCTCAGACATCATGACAAGCTGTGGTTTAAACAAGTGAGTAACAATAAGTTTGTCAATCAATATAAAATCATGGCTTTTATCTGTTTGCAGGTGGCTAGCAAACCATAACTTGTTTGCAGAAGTGAGTTTGGACAGCTAGATTTCAGCATATATCATGGTGTATCAGTGATACGTACAAATCAGTGTCATTGACTCATTTTCATTCAGATGTTTTTTCAGTCAGCTTTGGTGATCAGGCTTCTGAAGAATTTTTGAAATAAATTTTAACAGAAAAAAGGACATCTATTCAAGAAGGGATTGAAGAAGATGTCTAAACTCACAAAATACAACTTGTAATGAATAGTGCAATATGCTTTGTGCCAGCAACTTGAGATGATGCAGATTGAAAGAGATGAAGAGGTTTAAGGTTGCTGGCATTTTGCTGCCAAACTAAGTTCTTCTTTCTCTTTTAAAGGAAAAATGTATATGTGGAATAATTTGTAATTCTATCTCCTGGTAGGCTTTTCTATTTGCTTATTTGGATGAGTTCCTTCTCCAGTTCTGTTATGGATTTTGTTTTGCTTCTTAAGGGATGGCGACATTTTCATTGCAGATTCCTAGACAGATATTTGACAAGCATTTGAAATGATTTTAGTCCTGCGATATATTGCATTGTTCCAGGTATGGATCTGGAAGTGATTTAGGAGGTTGCTTTCTTGGTTAGCCAAGTATGTCTTAATAGGCGCAATGTGGACTTGGCACAATGACCAAAAAGCCAGTTCAAGGAGAATAATCTAAGAATGTATTTCTGTTAAGATGCTGTTCCTCTACAGGGGAATACTTGTGGCAAATGGAGGGATTTAACTAGACATAGAATGTAATTTGTAATATTAAGTAACCAGTGATGAAGTTAGATTTTAGTCTAATATTGTATGATGGTGGATGGTCCATGAATAAAGAGAAAAAAATCTGTTTGCGTTTTTCTATGTACAAGTCATACAAAACCAAAAATTAACCTTTACAGGGAAATCTTTCTTTGATCCTTACACTGAGGAGTAATTTAGCCACAGAACTTTGTAACTCCCTTACATAGATCTAGTGGGATCAGAAAAGGATGACCCTTTAAAAAAATTAAAGCTGTTCCATTATCAGTCAAGTTTGGAATAGTATGGATATGGTCATATGGTTACTGCTTCAGAGAAAGTGAGTATTCTTCCTTTGCACTTGCAGAAGGCACTCATTAAATATCAGATTGAAAACAAGCTAGAAGCATCTAATGTGCCCAGTAGCAATTATCAATGCATTTTTGAGAAGGACATATGCAAATTGATCATTTGCAAACTAAGTGAACTCTTTGTTGACATCTTATAGTCAGGCTGATTACCAGTAAACAGAATTTGCTCTGTATACCCATGGATACTTTCCTGGCTGCTACTTCAAATCTACCTTCCTCTAACCTGAGGCTAGTTTGACCACAGGCCAACTTTCTCTTCCACGTCTTGGCTTGCTCTGTGCTGAATACCATCTGTCATTATAACAAATAGTTCCTTTTGTTTACCTTCACATGGTTATTTTTTAACATGGCAATGTCACTGCAAGTAAAAAAAAAAGAATTTGTGATTTTTAAAATATAAATATTCGCTCTTATAAATTGACTATTGTATGATAAAATAGTTACAGCAAAAGAAATTGCAGGATTTCAGAGTTACATGATTTTTCTTCTTTCAGGGGTATTTCCCCTCAGGAAAAGCAGGAAACAAGCAAACTGAAAAACCAAACCAAGTGTGTGATAAATTAGAATACAACTATCAAATGAAAAAAACAGCTTGATTCTTTCCTTAAAAGATGAGAAACTGTTAGCTTAAATATGCAGCAAGAACATTAGGTCAGAAGTCTCCTAACTGCAGCTTTCATTATGTTAAACTGGACAGCTACGCTGGCTTTGTGAAACAAAAGAGGAGTATTGCAGGAGTCATTAACAAAAGATACCAGTGGAGTCAGAACACCAGCTATTAGGGAAATAGGATTTGATGCTAAGAAGTTGGTTCAAAACTGAAACTTTCCATTCCCAAACAAAAAGAATTACCTGTACTCTCAGGGTGGTTCCTGTTGCTTGTTGGGAAGACAATGGGAACATCAGATGCTACTCAGTTGGTCTGCCTTGTTGACCATTTGACACCCTACAGGACTGTAGGGTACAGGACTGATCCTGTCATATCCCCCAATCTGACTGCTTGTTCAGTGGATTATCCCTGGTGTGGTCTGGTTCTCACTGGTCTTCTGACTTATTGTTGGGACTGCTGGACTTTCAGTTAAGAATTCAAAGCCTACCTCATCTTCTAGTCCTGATTCAGTTTCTGAAGTGACAGGCTTGGAAGACTGTATTTGGGAAGAGCAGGCCTAGTCCCTACAGAAGTTCTTTAAGCAGGTTGACACTAGAGCATGCCTTTGGAGACTTGGCCTGGCTGGTAACTGATCAATGTTTTCTTCCCTTGGGAGACTCTTGCTAAGAAGTGGCCCACCAGTAGGGAAGCCCATTCTCCCTCCCAGTCTTACAGGACACATCTGTAGCTATGGTCCTCATAGGAAAGGAAAACTTATACCTTTCCATATGGGATTGTTTCTAGGAAAAGGGCACCCATTGGTATAGCTACCATAGAAGTGGGGAAAATTTCATAAGAATACAGTTGCTTCCTCAAACAATCCTGATGAAAAAAGCAGGAAGCCTAGCATTAAATATTTACTTCATGCAGTGCATAATTAACTTAGAGTCATTATTGCCACAGCATGTGACGATTGCCACCAACTTGATTTTAGAATTTAATTGAAGAGATATCTAGCAGTAGACTTGATCTGTGATGGCTAAGCAAGAACTCACCATTACAGGCAAAATGCTTCTGGATACCAGATGCTGAGAATGATTGATTACAGGGAAGGGCCTTTCCCTGCTTATGGGCTTTGTGGAAGAATCTAGCTGTGACTAAGGGTTACATCACAATGCTGACATCCAGTAGAACTGGATATGCATATATTCCTTTTGCCGCAATGGCATATGTACTACTGCTGTGGCTGCATATTAAAAGATAAACTGTTGTACAGTTTGTAATGTTCTGCTTCCTTCACTTTCTTTAACAGTTTTTAAGCATTTTCAGTTCCTTTGCAGTAAAAGAGCATATTTGCAAGATTTCTAAACATACTGGGATATGTTGTGGCTGCTTATGACTCCCCAGTCTGTCTTGGAATATATCTTGGTTTATATTTGAAAGGTCTGCTGTAAGACTTCTCTAATGCTGATAAAAAACAAGTAGGACACTCTTTGAAAATCCCCGATTTAGCTAATTATTATCATTACATTTCTGTACCACACATAGCTAAAACTGGCTGGGTGGTTCACAACATTTAAGTCACCCATCCAGATTTCAGCCAGACTCAACCCTGCTTAGCTTCCAAGATTAGGCAGGATCAGCTGCTTCAAGCTGTATGGAATTTGTAAATACAAATTAATTTCTTAGTCCTCACACCTTAGATTTCTTAAAAGAGTGTTTCAAGTGACCCCACTTGAATATCAGACTGTAGCACATAGTGGTTGTTGTAAAATAAGAAACTGAATTTGAGTGTAGTGCACACCTTTAGGCATCCTTTACCTTGAAATTGCATTTTCTTAGTTTGTTTCCATTAACATTAATATGGAAACAAATCATCCTAAGAACAATGGACTGTTGTCTACTTAGATTGTATATAAAGTATTAGAATTCAGTAGCTGGATATTCCTAGGCCAAATGTGCTCTCCCCTCTTTGAGTGCCTCTTTACTGGTCTGAAATCTGTAGGAACAGAATTTGCAAGCCAGTTACTTTAGATAAGCTGGTGACTTCCAGATGGGAGTGACCTCCAAAATTCCTGATCATTGTTCATCCTGGCTGGGGCTGATGGAAGATGAAATCTAAAACATCTGGATGGCAACAGTTTTGGGGAAGCTAATCGAGGGATAATGACTCACCATAACTCATTTTTCAGTGGGCAAATGGATCACAATTTTGTTTTTATAGATAGATATGCAGGCTTCCAAATTGGTCTTAGTCAGGTATTGGATTTACTCTTTCCCTCTTGTATTCATATTAATTTCAGGATCATATTATATGGATGTCATTCTGATTGAAGTTCTGTCTCTTTCTTGGTGACTAGAAGGTAATTTTGCCCTTTTTTAGGGTTTCTTGTCACTTAAAATTGACAACTGCTAGCCTTTATTTTGTTTAAAACTCAAGTCCAGGACCAAATGTCACATGGTTGCAACATGAATCTGCTGTGACCATATAAAACAAGAGAAATTGTTCTTTTTCATGGTGTGTTGTGTATGGTTCTGAATCAAAACTCAGGCATTCAGAATATTATCCTATTTAATGGATCTGCCTTAGTATCCATATCACTTTGATTTCTTACAACTAGGGATTGGTGAAGAATGCAGTTCAGGTTTTAATGTGAACTCACGTAATTTTGCACACTGGACCACTGTGCAAACTTAAACCCAGTTACCCTTTGAAATTCATGGTTCTCCAAAGGTTGCAGTGGAGTTCTCCAATTAAAAATATATGTGAAATTTCATATATTAGAGGAAATAATGTTAAAATGCAT